AAGAGATATTAGGGACACAGAGCTTGATGGTATCTCATCACTGTTATCCATTCTTGAAGGGGTGTTCCTAGAGCCAACAAAGGCAGATAGTAGAATTTGGACTCTCACCCCCTCTGGTTCTTTCACTTGTGCCTCTTTCTTTAGTGCTGTTACACATTTTTCTTCTTCTGGTTTGTCTTTCCCTGTTAAAGTGGTGTGGTGTCATCCTATACCTCCTAAGGTTGGGAGCTTCTGTTGGGAAGCCTTTTTGGGAAGAGTTAACACAGCAGATTTTCTTCAAAGAAAAAGACCCAATAGTTGTTTTTGTCCTCACTGGTGTGTCCTCTGTAAAGCTGATGGTGAGTCTGGATCACTTACTAATTTCCTGTTGGTTCACTAACATCATTTGGCAGTGGTGTACTTCTTTGTTTGGGTGCAAGTGGACCCCCTCTTCAAATGTGCAAAGACTATTCACATTTATGCCGTTTTGGCCAACAAAAAGGGCCAAGTTTATGTGAAGGTGTATGAGGGCTGCAGTCTGTTGGACTATTTGGGAGGAGAGAAATTCACGAATATTTACAGATAACGAGAGAAGTTTGGAAGCAATGCTGGAGGTCATCCACATTAGGGTTATACACTGGCTGAAAAGCTTGGCTCTGTTCGTAGAATTCTCAGTTGATGAGCTGCAAAGAAAGTGGAAGGAGATAGCAGAACTTTCTCCAATGAGGAAGGCCTCAAATGTTTGTTGGATCCCTCCACCCCATGACTTTGTTAAACTGAACTTTGATGGCAGCAGCTTGGGCAATCCAGGGCTATCCAGAATAGGAGGGGTAATAAGAGATGAACAAGGGAATCTGTTAGCTATGTATTTTGGACCAATTGAGGTGGGAGATTCTTTGAGAGCTAAGATTCTTGCAGCTCTTGAAGGGGTACAAAGAATCAAGGATATGCATACTAACAAGCTGATCATAGAAGGAGATTCTGAAGTGGTGGTAAACTGACTAAAAGAGGATAGTCTTAGACTTTGGAATTATAGTAATGAAAAGAGGAAATTCAAGTGGCTGACTAAGGACATGGAAATCCAATACAAATGGGTAAAAAGAAGTGCGAACTCTTTGGCAGATGGTCTAGCTAGACAAGGGGTGAACAAACATTCTATTTTTTGGGCTGTCTTGTAATTTTTGTTCTTTTGATGTTTAATGGTTGTTCTTGGGAGCTAAGATTGTTTAGCCCCCTTGGCCTGTAATTTTTTCATATTTTTAATATTAATTCAATCCATAGTTATTGATAAAAAAAAGTTGCAAGAAGTATCATGCTGAATACTAATGTTCCTATTTCGTTTCTGGGGGATGCCATTCTTATTGCTGTTTGTCTGATTAACAGGATTCCTTCACGGGTCTGGGACATGAAAGCTCCTTTTAACTTGTTGTATCCTGATAAGGAGCAGTTCTCCGTTCTTCCAGAAACCTTTGGTTGCACTTGTTTTGTCCAAATCCTTGGGCCTACTCGTTCAAAATTTGATCCTAAGGCTGCCAAATGTATTTTCCTAGGGTATGCACAAAATCAAAAGGGCTATTGTTGCTATGACCCTGTCTCGAGAACCAGATTTGTATCCATGGATGTCACCTTCTTTGAAGATGTTCCTTATTACCCTAGGGTTCCACCTTAAGGGGAGAGTGGTGAGAAGGGTGTGTTTGCTCGAAATGTTCCTTTGCCCATTCCTACAAGTGGTGAGGAGTGTATTGAAGGGAGTTGTCAAAAGTGTAAAGAATTGAGGGTGTTTCACAAAAGATGGTGGCAGCAAGTTTGTTCTAGTAATGATCAGTTCAGGCCAGTTCCTATCTCTTCTGCGGCACCAGATTCAGGTATTGCCTCCTCCTTACCCCCTCCTACTACTGATGACATACCCACTCCTACTACTGATGACATACCCTCTTCCACTACTGTGCCTCAGCCATCCGCAAATGACCTTGACCTTCCGATTGCAGTACGTAAGGGGAAACGTCAATGTACCTCATCCTTTGCCCATAGTATCGCTCATTTCCTTTCTTATGATCACATTTCATCATCACATAAGTCCTTTTTAGCCTCCATTGCTGCCATTCCCATTCCTAGAACAATTCAAGAGGCCCTTGTTGTCCCTGAGTGGAAGGAAGCAATGAAGGATGAGATGGATGCCCTTGTAAAGAATGCTACTTGGGAACTGGTTGATCAACTAAGAGAGAAGAAGCCTGTTGGGTGTAGGTGGATATTCACAGTGAAGTATAATGCTGATGATACAGTTGAAAGATATAAAGCTAGACTGGTGGCTAAGGGATACACTTAAACTTATGGTATTGATTACTTGGAGACCTTTGCACCAGTTGCAAAAATGAATACCATCAGGGTTTTACTGTCTCTTGCTGCTAACTTCTCTTGGCCTCTGTTTCAGATGGATGTTAAAAATTTCTAAATGGTGACTTGCAGGAGGAGGTGTATATGGAGTTACCTCTTGGTTTTTATGATGTAGGGATTGGTAAGAAAGTTTGCAAGTTGAACAAAGCTTTGCATGGTCTAAAACAATCTTCAAGGGCATGGCCTGATAGATTTAGACTTGGTTTGGAAAGATTTGGCTATGTTCAATCCAAATTTGACCACGCTCTGTTCTTTAAGAAGAATCCACTTTGACTCTCCTAGCAGTGTATGTGGATGACATTGTGGTGACAGGAAGTGATATTGATGAGATTATTCTCTTAAGCAACTACTGAATCAAGAATTTGAAGTAAAGGGCCTGGGTGAGTTGAGGTATTTCCTTGGGATTGAAGTGGCAAGGTCCAAGCATGGCATTTTTGTTTCCCAAAGGAAGTATGTTCTTGATCTCTTGGAAGAGACATGAAAACTGGGAGCTAAGCTTGCTGATACTCCCATTGAGAAAAATCATAAGATTAATACAGAGGATGGTGAGCCTTTGGAAAATAAAGGTATCTATCAACGGCTTGTAGGATGACTTCTCTACCAATGTCTGACTCATCCCGACATTCCTTATGCTGCCAGTGTTGTTAGTCAGTACATGCACTCTCCCGAGACCTCACACCTCCTTGCTGTTGAGAGAATTTTAGCCTATTTGAAGAGATGTCCAGGCCGAGGTATACTTTTTAAAAATAATGGCCATATGAAGATTGAAGTATACACTGATGCAGATTGGGCATGTTGTATTGATGATAGGAGATCTACTTATGCGTATTGTGCCTTCGTTGGAGGAAATTTAGTTTCATGGAGGAGCAAGAAACAAAATGTTGTTGCTCAGTTCAATGCTGAAGCTGAATACAGGTCTATGGCTAATGGTGTTGTTGAGATATTATGGCTGAAGTCTCTCCTTGCAGAATTGGGAATTGAGTTTGAAAGACCGTTGATGCTGTATTGTGATAATCAGGCGGCCATTAACATTGCTCACAACCCAATACAGCATGAAAGAACCAAACACATTGAAGTTGACAAACATTTCATCTGAGAGAAAGTTGCCTCTCAAGAAGTGTGCCTTCCTTATGTTGCCACTAATATGCAGCTTGCCGATGTGTTCACCAAGGCCGTCAACAAAGTCAAGCTCGAGTCAGATTTAAGCAAGTTGGGAATGGTCAATATCTTTTCCCAACTTGAGGGGGAGTGTAGAGAAAATGGTTGACCAGCTTGTGGTCCCCTCCTGCTCATATGTTTTTTGTCTATAGTGCTGTTAGAAAGACTGTTAGAATCTTTTGTTCTGTTGTTTCTAGTGACAGGGGCATGCCTGTCCTTGTATACTTAATGTGAAAACCTTATATTTTAAACATCATTTGGGGCGGCAGACTAAGCTAGCCGAACCCTCACATTCTTTTCTATTCTCTCTTTCTCTTCTTCTCTTCTCTCTTCTCATCATCTTCTCTTCTCTTCCCTTTCTCCTCTTCATTTTCTGGTTTATTTTTCTTTACTAGACAGGTCTGAACGTTCTTGTTTCAGACAACTCATGTAGTCACACTTGTGAGCCTCAGATTTTACCAGTATGTAACATATTATATGATACAAGACATGGATATATAAGTATGTATTTAATATATCAATAATATATTGCAGGTCGGCTCAGGCCTGAACATCAAAACCTAAGCCCCAGCCCAGAAATTTCTGGGCTGGAAATGATCACCCCTGTAACCCATGTTCTCTGTTTTAAACAAATGAGATTACAACTGAGCCCAATAAAGTTTTGCCCTATTAACCCCTTTATTGGCTAGACCATTGGCCAACCCATTATTAGCTGATCTGTGAAGCCATTTGAAACCTACCACCCTCCCATTAGCTAGTTCGTAATTTCCCTCATTACATATCTGTATTTCCATATTCCTTCCATCTTGTTCTTCAGCCGTTCTACCATCCTTGAGTCTCCTTCCACCAATAGTTGGAAGTGCTTTGGCCATAATTCACTGGATTCTCAGTTAATAAGGGAGTCCGCCTTTCTGACATTCAAGGTGTCTTATTGATGCAAGTGGTTATAAGAAAATTTTAATCAAGTCTCAAAGAAAGAAATTGAAGAAAAAAGCCAAATGGTATAATTTCAAAATGCATTGTCAGTTGGAAAAAAAGTTACTGTTTGACCCGTGAATCCTTATTTGATTTAGCTGAAATTTGGTGGAATTAAAGTGCACTTACAGCACTCCAATATTATAGAATTTCAGCTCAATCCAACATGTGGAAGTACCCCAACTAAAGACTTTAAACTTTCAACATGTGGCCCTTCAACCCTGTGAAGAACATGGGGCTAGCTAAAACATAATTTCAGATTTGGAGAATTAAAGATATCAAAATTAAACTTTCTTATTAGATTAAAGTATGCAATACTGTTCCCAATCTTCCTCAGAGAAAGAAATTGTAGGTTTCAGGTGATATTTACCTTTTCTCTTCCAGTATTTAGTTCATCTTACTTCTTCTTACCAATCTTCCTCAACTTTTCTCTCTCACTGCATTGATGCTTCTTACTATACATTGTATATGCTCACTAATGTTGAAATATGCAGGCTCTAAAAGAAGCATTCACCGAAGTTCGGCTTTTTTCCAGATTGGGAGATCTCTTACTAAAGAAGAAATTACTAAACAATGGAGATACACCAGAGATCCATTCTCAAAAGGCAAGCTTTAATCTTTGTTATTATTCTTGTTGTTGTTTTCATGTCTGTGGATGCATGTCTTTATTTGATTGGGTTTCTTATTGTTCATTCTGTACTTTTAGGCTTTGAACCATGAACAGATTATAGTTATGCTTGTACATACCCTTGTTATCAGTTGTTGTGGGCTTTATTTGAAGTGCAACATAATGTGATGACGTTATTATCTTGTTGTTTGGGTGCCTATGCATCCACGAGTGTGCTTTTTGATCTGGAGATACATGCACAGAGTTGTGAGTCAATGTGACTCTATGTCCATAACTTGCTGCACTTGAACCTTTCTTCAGTATAATGCTATGGCTTAATACTGCAGTGCAGTCTGGGACCCCCACTACTGAAGTGGACATGGAATTTCTTATCACTTTTAGACTGTAGGGTGAACTCATTTTCATGATTGCATTGCCACAGATAGGCCTTGGACTGTGAAGCTCTTTCCATTTTAACTGAGCTGGTTATGTTTGTAGTTGGGTTATGTCTCTTTAGATGAAAGGATTTTATGGTCTTCTCTATGACTTCATAATGACATCTTGCTTGCTGCTATATCTGCAAAGCATCAGAATTACAATATGCTGCTTTGTTTTCATTAGATTTATTTGAATTTGATCTGTTTAATTGATATCCAGGTTGATAAGTTGAAAATCTTGTCAGAATCTCTTGCCAACTCCACCTTGAAAGCTGAAAAGCGTATTTCAGATCACAGGTTAGAAATAGTATTATTTTATAACTAATTGATTATGTTTCCACCTTTAGATGGCCTTCATTTGCTGGTGTGAGGAGAAAGATCTTCCATGCTAGTACACTACCCACATGCTGGGATTTGCTTGGTACCCCACATGTATGGCTGAGATTTCCAGTGTGTATTCAACCAGGGAAAGTTTACCTATTTTTGAGGATCAGTTATGTAGTACTTTGTTAAAATATATTTATAGGGTGTATTGGAATGCTTTACTATTACATCATTGTCATTACAAGAATAGACAAAAAGTACAAAAGAAAATGGAAGATTTATGATTCACAATCTCATTCTAGTTTCTATCAAAGTCTATCAACTTGTGCCCTAAAAAATAATTCAAGATAGAGCCCTATCCATAACGTGCAATCATCTTTGACATTCTTTAGGAGTGGTCTTAGTTTGTATTGAGAAGTTTTTCCTTTTTGTTCTTCCGAAATAGAGAAACTGCAAATTCAGTGACCTTCCATAGGATTTTTCCTGTAGTCCCATAAAAGGATTAATAGCCATTTGACACTATAAAAAGTTCCATAGGATTTTTCCTGTAGTCCCATAGGACTTTTCCTAATCCATCCTGAAGATGGAGAGGAAAAAACCCCTAACAGCCATTTGACACTATAAAAAGTTCTTACTATCATTCTCTTGCAGATTACATACTTGCAGCAAGCTTGAATTACTACTTTAGCTTGTAAAGCCCTCTGCCCTTAGATGAATAGGGAACTGTAGGATTTTTTTTTTCTTTTTTTGAGAAAGGTGAAGTATAATGTATTAACTAAAAGGAAAGTATACAAGTATGCTCCTCTGTACAAAGTTTCTATACAGTAGCATTCCTTTAAGGACCTGTTAAAAATGTATGTTCAAAAAAGAGGAAACTGTAGGCTTTATCTATGATCGCATGCAACACCATTTGCTACCTAACCATCTTTGTAGTAAAGATCTAGATAGCCAACTGTGCAATTTTCTCTCTGAGTTGGAGAACTTGCAACAACCCACAATCGTTGCTTTCTGAATTGTTCCCTTGTCAATCAATAATGAATCAAAGCGGTCTATTAGAAAATGGAAAAACTTTGGCTGTTGGGGCCCAACAGCATAGGCTGTTGAAAGCGATTTTGAGAATGCCACGTTACCATGAAAGTGGGTATAGTAGTAACAGCATAGGCTGTTGAAAGCGATTTTGAGAATGCCACGTTACCATGAAAGTGGGTATATTAGTAATTGCCCCCTATTTTATTTTGACCAAAAACAAAGACATGGGCATGAATAGGTGAACCCTCTCAGCCTAAAAACACTCTCAACAGCCTAGGCTGTTGGCCCCCAACATCCAAATTTATCCCATTAGAAAAGTAAAAAGACAATAAGTGCAATAAGATCAGAGCTGCCCAGAACAGGAGTAGCAGAAACAGGCTACCCAACCGGCTATGCAGCTATTCCAACACACCCAGTAAGCTAATATAGCAGGGCTAGGCCCTAGTACAACTCAGACATCTATGTCCACCAATAAAAATGTACACTATCTCATTGACTTATATTTGGACCTAGTAGAACCAGATATTCACTCTAGTAGTGAAAGGGATAGCATCTCTGATGAAGTGCTGGAGCAACCTAGGACCTTTCTGCTCCATCTGAAATCCACTCTATTACCAGTTTATTACATGGGAGTTTGCCTTTCCATCCACCCTTGAATAGCCTTGGAATACACAAAAACAATCCACTGAGTAGAGATAACATTATCTCTGGAGCTTGAGTTCACATTCACTTGGATAGAGAGAACTGCCAACAATTTGGCAGATTCAATGGAAAAACAAGGGGCAAGTAGGACACTCTTGTTTTGTGGAAAGGAACCACAGTGATGTAAAACCATAGGGATTGGCTATTTGTAGACCAAATTGATGGTATACTGCATTGTAGATAATCTTCTCATAATCAAAAAGGCCTGCTGGTTAAAAAAATGAAAAAGAAAAGTAGAGGTAACATTTCTACCCAAGCCTAGAAGTACACAAAAAGTGAATAACCTCCAAACAAAGAATCCCTTTTTGTGGTGATATTTTTTTTATCAATTATTTTTGGTGATATGTGGCCATACAATGGAAAAGCAGGAGAGAAAAAATAGTGGAATAAAGAGCTCTAAAGAAAGACAAATTCGAAAAATGATCATGAGATAGCATCAAAATGGGGATTGTCTCTCAAGAAATTTGATTGTATTATTCATTATGAGTGATAAAGTGGGTTAATAGCAGGTGCTAACATGTCAAAAGGGGTGCTTGGCACAAATTCAAATTGTGTATCTCATTATTTTATCACAATTTAATAAATCACTATTCCTTACATTTCAAAAACAAATGACCATGAAATACAATCAGTGTTGCATGGACACCCAACCTTTGTAATATATCCCCTTGCTGATGAAAAAAATATTGAGAAGCATCTAATTAAATCTTCCAATTTCTCTGACCAACCTATTCCTTGATTCTCAAAAAGAACGGTAATTCATCAGTGAACTCTAAATGGGATACTGCCTATGTAAAGGGAGGTATAAGAATGCATTTTATTGTTAACCAAACTTGAGACCGAATTGTTTCCACCTATGGATAGAGGTGAAAGGTGGTGTAAAAAGTGCAGCAAGGGAGATTCTCAGTAAAAATGATATCATGATATGATCATCAGAATTTAGGTAGAGAATTTTAATATCAAAGGAATTTGGCTGGATCCTATTCCTCAAAGACTGGATGCTTTTGCATGTCTGGTGGTGTTGGCTTTGAGGAAAGATGGTGTGTCTAGACTGAAGGGTGTTTGAAAACTTGTGATTACTTGGTTTTGGTGAATGGCGTGGTAAGGGATGCTTTTCTAGCTACTAAGGGTTTTAGACAAGGGGACCCTCTTGCCCCGTTCCTCTTTACCCCAATAGTGGATGTGTTTAGTAGACTTTTCTTGAGGGCAGATATGTTGGACTTATTTAGAGGTTGAAGAGTAGGCAATGAATAATACTGTAAACACACTTGCAGTTTGCAGATGATACAATCATTTTCTGTGAGGGTAGGGATCCTAGGAAGGCAAGGTAGTTAAAGAAGGTAATAAAGTTGTTTGAATATATTTTTAAGTTGAAAATTGACTTTGAGAAGAGTTGCGTGTCAGGGGTAAATTTGGAGCAGGAGTTGACTGTAGTAGAGTTTGTAGGCTGTTCTATTGCTTGTTGGCCAATGAGATACCTAGGATTGCCTCTGGGAGATGATCTGAAGGAAAGCAGGTTCTGGAATCCAATAGTAGAGAGTTGTACTAAGAGATTGGCACCTTGGAAGATAAATTATATTTCTCTTGGAGGCAAAACTACACCACCTTATCAAACTTGCTAGTTTATTACATGTTGATCTTTAGGATGCCATGGTCCATGAAGGGAAGTGCAAAAATTAGAAAAACTGATGATGGATTCTTATGGGAGTTTGGGGAAGGAAGGATCACTTGATCAATTGGGATTTAGTGTGTAAGAGCAAAGAACACTGCAAGGTTTAAAATATCGATGTTGGTGGAAATGTTAGTCATCCAAATATAGGAAACATGTCAGAAATGCCAAAATGCTGTAAAAATTATAGACATGGTAGAAATATTGTAAAATATGCAAAAATATAGAATGATATTTATAAAATGATAAAAGAAGTATAGGCCCACCTTTTTAAATTATTATCTTGTTCCTAATCATTATACAAAATTTGAATGAGTTAAAGCAAAATTTGAACTCATAGAAAATGTAAATGGTTATAATAGATCAATCAAATAATCTGTTACACAAACAAAGACTAATATTTAACTTCATGTTTAATGTTTAAAAGAAATATTCAGCTAGCTCAAAGTGGTAATAATGTAAGTTAGGTGGGCAATAACATTGTTACTCCACATATGTACAATATTGTCACCAACTTATGTTACAATACTATCTCTTGTACTCTGCATAGACGGCATAGTGCTGGTAGTGTTCACTAGGGGATGTGTCGATTCTGGTAAAATTTCATGTTGCTACCCATGGAAGTGGAGATAGAAATATGTTGTTGAAGCTATCTCTTGTACTCCACATAGTGCTAGTACATAGTTGTCAAGGTGATGCCTAGGTGACAAGGCGCCCTTTGAGGCTTGCCTCGCCTATTTTACAATACATAGTACAAACAGTTTTGTACTATGTATTGTAAAATACTTTTTTATTCTTTATTTTTTGACATTATAATTATAAAATAGGCACTATTAAGCTAAAATATTCATTTTGTGTGTTTATATACTAATTTGTTTTTATTATTTTCTTATTTGTTAGGATTTAATCAATACAAACATTGCTAAATGTTGTATTGAACCCTCAAAGACTTTAAAACCTGAACCAATAAGTAAGGAAGAACTGCTACTACTTTTTCTTTTCTTCTTTTCCTATAACAAAAATAAGGGTTCAGCCCCTTTTTTTTTTGAATTTTCTTTTCATCACCCACCTAGGCGACAAGGCGCCCCCCTGATGCCCAGCCTCACCTTGGTGCCTTGAAAACCATGTGCTAGTAGTGCTCATTGGGGATTGTGTCAATTCCGGTAAAATTTCGTGTTCCTACCCATGGAAATGGAAATATGTCGTGAAAATATTAGGGAAATTAGGGACATTTTTAACCACTTGGGAGTTTAGGTATAGGTAACTTAGGATAGAAGAATTTGTCTTTGCTAGGTAAATGGCTTTGGAGATGACCTTTGTTGAGGGGGAGACTGTGGCAAGAGGTAGTTGGCAATATTCATGGATGTGTAGGAAATGGTTGGGGTGCTGGGGTATCTTCAAGGGATACTATGTCTTTTCCTTGGAAATCCATTTGTGGAGTGCTCCCTCAGTTTCTAAGCCTAACCAGGTATGATGTTTGCTCTAGAGATCAAGTTCTTTTTTTTTGATCAATAACAGAAACTTTATTAAGAATTAAGAAGCTTTAAGTACAAAAAAGGGGGAGACAAAGAGT